GCGCTATAGTTGTTTTGTTAACAGTTTCGTGTTTATAAGCTCCATATGTTGAGTCTGTCCAGCAGTCGCTTTCCCAAACCTTACAATAATATTTTAAAATGATGACGCATTTTACTCCAGATTTTGACTGTACTTTGACAGAGTAGGGCTCTGATTTCGAAGTCAGCGTAATTAAAGTGGATTTTCAATGGTAATATAAAGGTACTCTATTCTGGCAGGGTGATTCTTAGTTAATTACTTTTGGGAGTTGTTTTTGAAAACTGTGCCCCAGTTTCTTGAAAAGAAGAACTAAGAAGAGGGTCTCCTGAGGGAGTGAGTCAACTCTGAGTATAGTCACCGAAAGAAGGGGAAGTTGTAATTTCGATATTGTGCAGTATGCTTTGCAACGGACTCGCCTTTGGAGTAGCATTTTGCTAAAGATAATTTGGACGTAACATAAAGGATGAGCGAGATGTCGGCATATCCTCAATTTCAGGCAGTTTGACCCTAATGAAATTATGTGAGCAGGTACCAACGAACAGCTGTAAACTCTAGTTGTGTAAGTCTAACCGGATGACAAATGACCATAAAAGCGAATAAGTGAATTAAAATTAGGAAACAGTAGACAAAGAATACTGTTACCGGGAGCATAAGAAACAACTCAGTGACTGGAACCAATAGGCGACCTTGCTGTTGCTCAACAGATTCACTTCTTCGATATAGTTGACAGATTTCTATTGTATAATTTGCCGAATTTTTGCATATTGATCAACCCTTGTTTCACGCCTCCGCGAATATCCTCTAAAAATAGTCTTTTACACTTCCAAATTCTTGGTTGTGTTATTTTTATTCTGTCATGTAAAAGCTTCGTTTCCTTCGGCAAAACAGGAAAAAAATAATCTGACCATGGGATCAAGTCGCACACGATCAATAACTGCTATTAATTAAACTCGAAGAATAGCAACATTAGTATTGCACATGCTTATCTATTTACAAGATTACGCCCGAATTAGTTGCTTAATTTCGGGGATCTTAAGAATAGCCCCAGGTAAGATCTGTCAAAGCACCCCAAGAAACCTGAATGTTTCTTACTGTGTCTTAGCCATCTAGGGCAAGAGTTGGCAGTTTACGACACGGTGTCATTCGCTGTTCCTACTGTGCCAAAAATGAATTTTCAAAATAACGCCCTTACCGATAGTTTGTTTTGGCTGTTTCTACTACTACTTCGTCTAGGGTAAAAATTGCTCCAATCTGCTCAGAACAAGTTGCAAATGTCTCGGAAACGTTCTACCCGCAATGTCATCTTTCTTATCACTCATCTTTCTGATCACCCAGTATGAACTGCGAAACAGGAGCTCGAGATGTTAGCTTTTGTGCACATGCGGATTAAGTGCGGGACCGATAAATTTATTGCCTTACAGTTGAAATGAATAGATTTCCTCCCGTCGTCTCCATGCCCAAACCTCTTTCGAGTTTCCACAGGAGCTCTATCTTAAGTTCTCACAAGGAAGAAAAACCTTACGCTGCTTCAAGTTATTTTTAACAGCAAATGATTTTACCGGGGCCTTGAAACCACTGGATAAAATTGGCCTTCATGCAGCTTGTTAATATAGTTTGATGTGGCTGATAAAGTACTCTTATCAGAGCATTCGATGTGTTCACTGAACGGACCGACAAACGTGTCGCAACTTAGACTACCACAGCATTTATCATCTGATTGCGCCTGATTGGACGGTGAACACGAAACGGCACGTTCTCCAAATACTTAGCTTGGTTGTCCGAGTATCTTGCCTATGTAGCTCATGCAGTTCTCATGTTACATTAGCTGCAAGCAGACGTGCTCTTTTAGTCAGTAGAATTGTCACCTTTGTGGCTGAATGGCTGCAAAAGGAGCACAGCAGACTGGTCCTTGCGAAATACGGCTTTTATAAACTATAAGAAAGACACTTCGAAATTGCGTTCCTTCGTGACTGGGTGGAGACTATATGCTGCATTCAAGGCTGGAGGTGAACAACCAGCATAACACTATTCAAACAGTTGTTAGTTATTCATGGTCCATGGTGCAAGCTTGTTCTGGGAGAGAAACGTTGGATGCTAAGGCGAAAAACAGATGCAGCTAAAGCTGGCGGAATTTTCTGATGCGACCTCGTTAATCCTTTGATGTTGCTGAACTTTATGTGAAAGACTCCCAATAAATTATCCCATTTCCGGCTATAACTGAATTGACCGTTTCTGAAAAACAAATGTGCTTTCTACATTCCAATATATTTGTGCGGGAACTCACCGTTATTTATCAGATGGCAGTATGTTTTTTTACCTTTGTAGAATTCCAGGTGACCACCCAAGTGAATGTAACGTCTGGTTAGGGCTAAAAAGTAAGCTTGTTTGTTCATTTCGTTTATGTGATGTAAGATTGAAAAATGCATAAACTAAGCCACTTGGCTGAGCTGCTTTTTGAAACGTTTCTCTCAGAGTTTAAAACGAAAGAGCAAATTTAGATTATTTCACAAGATTTTGCGCATAAAATACTGCTAAAGTGCGCTTCTTACTTGACGAAGTTGCGAACAAGGTAGAACTGTCTTTCCCACACACAACTTCTTACAGTCAGGTTATGCAGGAATCCTCAAATTATATTTGTTGACCGTTGTTCAGCTACTCTTCATTTTCATCAACAATGAGAGTTTACCGAGCGAGACAGAACCTGATCTGGATTTCTCTGCATATAAATCGATATGAGACATATCCGTTTATGAGGTTACTGACCCTTTCGGTTGCAGCGGATACTGCAGTTGGAACTTACTTCCAATTTTAGTCCGACTGTTGTTGTTGTCTTGGCTGGCGTATATTAAATTGTTGCAGGTTAGTTTTGCTCATTCTTGCAAAGCCATCGACCAGAAATCTGACTCACCTATCATTAAGGGGTTTTTAGCCGGGTATAGCAAGAAAAATAAGGAAGGTATTCAAACGCCTAATGCCATACACACAGAAGTTACAATTTGGTCATCACAGGTTTCTTTCTTTTTAGAAGTATTTATTTTATATTCTGTAATGTGCCAACGGTCACGGTCAAACGATGGGCTAATTGGCTATGCGGGCTTTAGAGCTGACTGTCCTATTTTGTGCCTCCTAAAGTGGACCTTCAAAAAGAAAACAAACTACTAGCTTGACAGGAAAATCAGATTGCGCTTATTTTCCTAAGGCAAAATACAGCATAATTTTACCATGGAGATTGTTTTGTACTGAGGAGGTTCACAGTTTAGAAGTTCTTTGGCTTTTATTTCAACTTCTGCTGGTTAAACTATCAGAATTATGTTTTATGGCAGTTAAATACTGGTTCATACTAGCGTTGTACTGCTGTCAGTAATGAATAATGGTCAAGTATTTTTCCTCCATAAACTGAAGTCTAGATGGTTCACCCCCAATGCAACATGCATGCCCCACCATCACCTCAAGAAGAGTACGTGGAAACGCGGATTTGGGCTATAAACCGTGTTTAATATTCAATAGTTGTGTTAAAATTTCACCCACATTTCTTTGGAAGAAAAACGTTGTCAGTTGACATACTTGTCCAAATGCGACTTTCACCATCAATTATCTCGCACTTTTTACGCAGTGTCTCTGATGCTGCTGGTAGTGATTGTGGGGCTGAAAACTGAAGTATTTCGATGGAAACCGGGTGACACAAACCGCAATTTTAGCGAACTAATGATTGCCAAATAATTGTAAATGTTCTACTTGTTACTGCCGATATATTCGACTCAAATAAGGGTGAAATAGAGGTGGTGTCTCAAATAGTCAAAACACCTTAAGTAAACGAAATACATTGTGAAATAAAACAAAATAAACTGGAAACAGTCTGCCTTACAAATCATTTTGAATAAACTGGACCCCTCCGGTAAACTCGTTTCATCCCTAGAGAGTAGAAAGGCGCGAAAAATTATTTTGTTTCCATATATACTTTTAAGCGCAAAACACTTGTAAAAACCATGTGTAAATCTCCGAACTTTGTACAGACGCAGCTGTAGTAACGCTGTTTTCAGTTTATCAGGAAGTACTGGAACCCGAGAATATCATTTGGCTCTAAACTTTATACACTGTTAGGAGAATGGGTTTGTTCAGTGTTATCCATCAAAATAATGGTTTTGTAACGCCCAACATCAATGCAAATGAAACTGCGTCTTCTGAGAGATTAAATCCATTACCTTGACTCTTAATTCTTCGGAAATCCTGGGAAATTACTTAGGTGTTTTTATGATAGTTTCCGGCGCAAGTCCATGTATAACATCTGGGTCAAATATTACGACCAATTTTTGAAGTGTTATCGATGAACTTACTTCGTCGAACGATACACTGAATGGATCTACTTAGTCAATTTCTACACACCACCATTTATTCTTGATTAAATGGCTTTTTTAGAGTCATCCCTTAATTGCCTTTCCGTTTTCTAAACAGAATTCCACCCAGAAGCATATAGCATCAGGAATATGCTCTGTTACTTTTACTCGCAGTAGTCCGCAGATAAACAATCGACGGAATTAGTGTGTTCTTTGGAACTAAATTTGTCTCAGCAGCCGTTGTGCAGAATTGGATCAACTGAACTTCGAGACCGCCTTGTGTCGTTATCCTAAAATGCTGCTTCTTCCAGGTCACTCTTCGAAAAATAATTTTTCAATATGTTTTTATACTCCGATGTGGAAGCACTAAGTGCTCTGATCAAAAATGAAAGAATGCCTGGTTCATTTGCTCCATTTTGGAAAAAAAGTTTAATCACACCGTAAACGGAGACGCGGGAGAATTTTATAGATGCCTTGTTCTCTGTCAACCAGTTGCATTTGTGATGACCTCTTCCTTAGGAAAAGTTCGTTTTTCCGAAAAGAGAACATCTCATGATTTCAATCAGCATAATGGCAGGCCACTGAAGTGGCTAAATGATCATATGGACTGCATCTAATATGAAAAATATGTAGACCGATATTAAAAAAGGCTAGAAAAGTTTATCAACAAATATAAAGGGTACTGACCTGTACTCGGTTGTTTCCCCAGTCGCTTACAAACAAATTGTCCTGTTTGTCAAATGCCAGGCCAGTAGGTGCATGCAACATTCCCGGTTCTATTCCATGTTCCCCAAATCGAAACAGATATAAACCATTTTGGTCGAACACCTTGATCGCGTGTTGTGCATAGTCTGACACGTAAATTTCATCTTGTGAATTCACTGCCACCGAGAAAGGATTGGTGAACTGGTTATCTCCGCTCCCACGCGCGCCGAAACGATTAATGAACTTTCCGGTCGGTTTGAATATACATAACATGCACGACTTTTGATCTACAACTAAAATTCGTCCATTCCGATCCGCAATGATTCCTTTGGGGCCGGAGAGGTATCGCTGCCCGAAACGTGAGATGTATGATCCAGTGGGGCTGTACACTGTCACACAGTGCAGCTCAAAGTCAGAAACTAGGTAGTTACCATTGATGGTTTCAGCAACATCCATCGGTCGCATAAGCTGTCCTGGATGGTAGCCATATTCTCCTATTCGAAACAGGAATTGAGCTTGCGTAGTGAAGATCTAGAATGTAAAAGCAGTAGCCTCTGTGTAGCCAGTGGATATGGTGTAGCAGACTAAAAGACCAGAAACAATGGAATGCCTCGGCATTTAGCGAAAAGCTCGTGTCACATGAATTGAGATTCACCAATAATAATGTTTGACCTGTTCAGCCAGATGACTTAACACTCACACTCTCACGTAGATTACGGAAAGTTTCCTATGCACCAATTGTGCGGACTACTTTTTAACCATCATTAGAGGTGAATTTTCAACAACTAAGATCATATGGCCTGAACATGGTGATCAGAATCGTACCATTTAAGTGCAACCTATTTCTGCTAGCTATGACTATTTTTTATGTTTAAGCCGGCATTAGAAATTTAGGATTGTGAATCTCCCCAGACCATTTAGGAGCTCTCTGCGGATGATGATTTTAACAAGGAACAAGATTCTCATATGCTGTTTCTAAAGTATGCTGCACTGATTAACCGTAACTTTTTCTATGTAAAGTTCTGTGTTTTCTACAAAACGTCATTTCGCATTATTTATACTGATTTTATTGTGACGCCTGATAAAATTTATTTATGAGCACTCGGCTTGAGACCAAGTAACTCACAATGAAATACAATAACGGACATCTTGTGCGAATCACCGGCAGAAATGCCTTTGTTCAATTCGTGCATAGAAGTCAAAAAAAGATAAAACTGTATTTACAATGACTTTTTGGAGGTCTTTCCGCTGTATACTCGATATGTGAATTATTTTCTGCTTTTCAGAAGCACCATGAATAAAGATTTGTGCCAATTATTACGCGATCCTGAAATGGCAGATTCTGATGTGAAACGGACAAACGTCTGTCTATTGAGCAATTATGTTGATTCTACATTAGTCAACAAATTTGTTTACGAAATACAGTTCTAACTTCTGATTACTGATCATAATTATTCTAATTCTGTCACAGGTCACTCATGCTGATCGAAAAATGTTGCCTTATTAGAAGCATTTTCACAAATTTCTGTTGTGTTTTTTATCGTTATTCACTCCGGATAGCACCAAATTCTTGAGAAAACTTTCCAAACACCCTTATAAAAGAGACGATTTTATAGGCATAAAATACCATGCTGATTACAATCAACGGTCAAAGGAAGAAGACTATTAGAATCAAATAGGAAGGGTTTTAATGATTTTTAAAGGGTTAATTCACTCCTGTAGAAGAGAAACAACTACAAATTTCCCGTTTCAATGACACGGGTGTTTTATTTATCACTTTTTGTCAGAAATGCTAGTGTTTCAGCCTATAATCTAGGGTGTGCAGCACTGTTCCTTAATTGTACAACTGACTTAAAGTAAAGAATTCATAAATAGACATGTTTTAAATGTTCTCTATTAATTTTGGTGATGTTTTTGACAACACAGCATTATTACACCCTTTTTTAGGGTAGCATCCACTTTTCCTTTTGCAAAGAATTTAATGTTTCAGAACATTCCCAGCTCGGGTACATTCAGTGGTAGTTGACTAAGTAACTGTTGATTTCTTGGTGGGTGGAATGCAACCACGCACTACTGATGGCCTCTCGAATGATGACAAAAAGCCTGCTATTTGGCTATTTAATTAAGTGGGCAGGTCAAAAGTGATTTGAGTAGCTGCAAGTACACAGAATTTAGAAGTCTCCGTTGAGCAGTATGTTCAACGGATGAAAATTTCTCCAGGGAGTCATTTTGGAAACTCATGGATGCGGTTCACCGCGAAAAGTAGTACTTGATCTGCTGATTGCTGAAAGTCGAACTAATCAAAGACACAATAATGATTTCAGCTTTGGTGAATTTGAAAATCCTAGCCCCTAGTCTACTGAAAATTTTGCAAAACCGTTACTTAAAATCAAATCCTTTGATTTGCTTAGGCAACTCTATGTAAGTTATCTCGCTCAGAATAATTACAGTTAAGTGGTAAAACGCGTAGGTCTACAATTATTGCAACTATTTGTTCATTTAAACTAAGCCGGTGAAAACCTGCCAGCCACAGATCTCACGAAATCGATTACTCTGCCAAATGATTTGCGTTAACCTGCTTGATTTGCACGTCATCCCACTCGTCCGGAGGCGCATCCAATTTTCCAAACCAACCGAAAACTTGAAGGGCTGCTCGAGCTATGTGGGGGTTTAACTGTTGCATCGTTGTTGTGTGACGCTGACAACAAACAAACCGTTAATGTCTGGGTATTTCAAACGAAATTAGCAAATTTTCCAGTAAAACAAATCGGATTACTGCGTTAGAGTCCTCATTCTTAAGTAGTCTTTTGTTAAAAATGTAACAGTAGAACATATGAATGTTCTTGGGATAAGTGAGCCTGTTCGCTGCAAACAAAGAGATTAGGTGAACAAGTGTTTACAGGAAAATAGAGATATTGGAGTTAGGTTGAAAATTTCACCAGTTAACTGGCGGAATTTTGAGGCTTAAAGTACTATCAACTGTTGAGCTGGCTGAAATCTGGTTGTGAAAACTAATTCTCTATCCTAGGAATGGGCTGTTACGATTTTTGTCTTTGGAGGCAAAACTCATTTGCATCTCATTTACAAAAACTGGGAACCCACCTTCTCATGAACGCGTCTTCCTGAACTTTCCTGGAGATCCATTGATTCCAATCATTCCTCGCTCAAATCTAAGCAACTGTTACAAAGTGATTCCACGAATTCCGCAACAGATCCCCCTTTTCAAACGACGCAAAGCGAAATTCCACGAACAACAGATACTACTCGCGTGTCTCCCCATCAGTAGTATGACCGTTTCAGGGGTAATAAACTAAGCTCAAGTACTAAACACTTGGTGATTTGAACATCCATCACTTCTTTTTAACAAAGCATGTTGAAAAAGTAAATTGAACAGAGTGTCTATTTTAACTTTATTCACAGACAAAAATCGTAACAACCCCTTCCTAGGATAGAGCATTGGTCTTCACAACCAGACTTCCACCAGCTCAGCAGTTGATATCAATTCCAAATCATACAAGAACTAAATTTAAACGCTTTGGGTCTACGTTCATTTTGAGACGCTTCGTATCCTGATTTTCATGAAGTTATTGGTTCTAAAACCACATGATCCAATGCCGAACTTTATCTTTGTGAACCGAATGAAAAGGTAAGAATGAGTGGATTTGATTGATTGTTCTTCAGCTTAGGACGACTCTTCCTAATCACGAAGTGTGTTATACGCAGAAAAGGTTCTTTCTGCGTGTCAACAAAGATGGACACAGAATAAAATTTAATCGGATTCGACATGGTCAGTGCTTTGTGTTTGAAGATTGATTTGAGTCTTCGAGCACATGTCAGCTACACCACTCAGGTTATCAGCCCAGAAAAGAGAAAATCTACTTTACCGGGCACGAGTATAAATAGGTAAGTAGACTCATCTGTCGGAATTCGCATCGCCAAACAACCGATCTTCGAAAGGTGTTTTTAAGACTTCGAGGTGTATTTCGGGAAAAAATAGGAGCTTTTACCCAGAAATCATCAATATTGTTTTTCACTGAAGTCCTTGTACCTGCATTGTGTAGCTACTGGTTTTCAGCAATTCACAGTCACTTACATTTCATCTATTAGTTGAGTGTATCATCCATCAAATGAGTTAAACAATTCTTCTTTACAGACATCATGCAGCAATACAAATATTTACGCCTATACTCCATGACTTCCTAATTCAGAGGAGTTTGAACATGTAAGCTCTCATTTTTTTTTAATTAGATATAGTAGTCACCTCTTTGGTGAATTCGAAAAGTGAGTACAGTTTGTGGGAGCAAAAAGTGATTTTGTTCAAAAGGAATGTAATTTCGGTTCTGCTTCTGAATATAAAACTGAACTCAACAAGTTTATACCTGCAAATAATACCTTTTTTATCGCAGACTGACTATGAGATTACATACTGTTGACTTTGGCAAACTACTGGGAGGAAGGCTAATGGTATCTAGGCTGGTACCGTGTAACCTGGTTATCTCTGAGCCCTCAGGCTTCTTATAACTAAGCATTTTACCGAAAAAATGCTGAATAATTGTAGGTTTATCCTCATTTTCTTCTTTTGAGTGAGGTCATGTTATGCAAAAAGCGGAGAATCACTTTACAGCTGTTTTATTCTTACGATGAGTCATCAGCGGCCTGTGCCTCAAAAATATACTGAGTAATTTGTTGCCACTACCTTCTGGCTAGCAGGTGAAGACCAAATCGTTTAGCCACAAGCACCTAGTCAGCACTGACTCGCACTCAGTGTTTTACTTTATCCTAACCAATCAAGAGGCCTCTTCCCTCATGAAAGCTTTTCTGACTTCTTTCACACAATCTTGTATAGGTTTGATGCAGGTCTCGCATGACGGCTTTTAAAAAATGAACTTTTCCCATTTAATGGATCTGTCCGTAAAACTTCTAAAAATCTGTGTGAGACAAAGAATGATAACACAAGTGAACCTGAGACTGAATGATATAGATGGCAAACAATATACACCACTTATACCCAAAGTCACACAGGTGCAATGCATTACCGATTGCTGACAAGTTTGAAGAACAGGTTGGGAGAAGAACGTAGGTCGCATGCACCTCAGCATGTGAGTCTTCATTTTACGTCAGCGTGAATATATCACCTTAGACTTAACAGATGAGGATCCACATAAGGTGAAATTCCAAAAAATGAAGAGCCTATATAAAGCGTTGGTTTAAAACGAAGCACTCCATCATCTTTGGAGTGTCAGTTAAGGTGTTTCACTGGTACGATTATCAAATGATAAGACCTCTTACAAACTGGTTTTTCCATGCTGAATACACCTCGTAGACACAGATGTGTGTCAGGAAACGGGAGCTTATATCTCGGCAAACACTGTTATTTTTATGTCAATTTGGTTTTTACAAGAGAAAGCTAAATCTCTGGTTTACGATATTTTTAACTGAATGTGCTGCACCGGTCGTAGGCTGTTGGTCAGAAGAATTACGAGTAGGTCGATGCATGAAAATACACTGCCATATCTCAAGTAGCATATCAA